CAAAAGACTGACAGGACTGTGCAAACACTGGTAATCTGGTTTGATGCACCGATGTGATTTAGTCAAAACTTTGGTGATGCATGGATGAACAAGCAAACGTGCAGGTTTAGTGCACACTCACAGTCCCATCACTAGTATGATTTTTGCTATGATTGCATCTAACAGAGGAAACCCAACGTTAACGTCCCAGGTGGAAAACAGCGCTGTCCAGAGTCTTAAAAAGGTCCTTCAGTGGAGTCACCCCCACCCTCCCACGCCCCCTCTTTTCTTTCCTAGAGCAGTGCATCTCTCTCGGGTCGGTGTGGTGGTTGATCTCCGGTGTTGCTGGTTCCAGTGGCAGCTTGTACGTGCCAGAGTTTCTAACCTGAGGTTCGGTCACACCTGGACTGCTGAGGGTCGGCCCTGCTGTTACCTCTGAGGAGTTCTGAGGAGTTTGAAAAGAAAGCTGGTCGTCTGTTGAGCGTGCAGACGCCTTCACGGTGGGCCGACTGCTGGACGTCTGAGGAGCAGAGCACAAAGAAATAAATAGAAAAACTCACAATATTCAGGTGTAAATCATCTCTGATCAGTGTCTGTGTAAAAACTCTCACACGAACACTAAACTGCTGAAATAAACAGACTTCAGAGGCCAAACTGCTTTTTTACAGCAGTAACTACCAACTCCAAACAGGGCCCCTCACCATTTGAAAAATACTAACCAAACAATGCTGAAATGCAGTATTATATTTGACTGCCGATGAACAATAATATGAAAGGTGAAACCTTTTTGGATTTTGAACAGTTGGCCCTGCAGCCGTGCCAGCCCATTGTGACCAATTTGTCACATTTTTATTTTGTATTTTTCTCTCCAATTATTCGATTAGCTTAATGCATACGTACCTAAATCTTAAAACAGATAAATGTGTACAATCACCACTGAAAACAAACAGACAATAAATGTGAGCAGTAACAAAACTTAAGTTAAAAGCTGTATTTTCTTCCTACCAGTCTCAAAAATATAGTCTTTCATCAAATTTATGGGAAATTTAAGTCATTTTACGCTCTTAATTTTGTTGATTTTTCAGGCTTTAAAACGTTTGAAGAACCTTGTCGATGTAAAGAATTACTGCCTGTGGAGGCTGATGAGGCTGAAGAGAGCATCTACTTCTCTTCCACACTAACAGTCTTGCAGATAAAGAAGTACAGTTTGAACTGACCCTGATTCTTTGAAAACAGCAGATTCTTTCTGCTGCTTCTTCTTTCTGCTCAGTTTGGGGGCGTGGCCTAAACCTAAACTGTTTTATGTTAAACATGCATTCACGTACCCGATGCTTCTTTTCTTCGTGCTGTTGTTTTCCAAAAGTGTGCCCGACGCGACCTTTGTTGCTCATTTCTAGTTCTGAAATTTAAAAAAACAAAAACAAAAAAAAAACAGATTTCTGTTTCATTCCACTAAAATTTTATTTAAAGTATTTAATGTTTTTAGGGGGCGTGAATAAACGGCGCACCACTGATCTGAATGCCGCCCCGCTGCTCTCCATCCTCCTGGTATGGGCTCAGGCTCACAAACAGGGATTTCAGGACTGAATCCTTAGGCGCCCCTATGGCAGACGTTAAGAGCACATTTCAGACACACAAATGGACATTAGACATTTTTGTACGTGTTGAGCGCATCCTTACTTGTGGGCGATGAGACGTGAGGCAGTTGCTGCTGTGCCGGAGTTTCAGATGGATTCGGACCACCCGGAGCTGGACTGGAGGAAGTCTCCTTGATTGAATCCTGCACGATGCTGCAAGCTGGATCTGCTGGCTGCTTCACAGGATCAGGCTCAGCTTCAGAGGTTGTGGAGCAACTATCAGGACTTTGTTTGACATCAGTTTGGACTTCACACGAAGGAGCCAACTCTACATTAGAAACGCTTTGAAAAGGACTTTCAGCTGACGCCTGACTGCAGGGAGGCAAACTCAAAGTCTCAGAGAGGGGGTTTGCAAAAAGGCTGAGGAAGGAAGCAGCAGAGGTTTTCTCAGGTTTGACTTCAGTTTTTAAATGTCCTTCTTTGCTGGTGAAATGTGCAGGCTGTGAGGCTCTCACTGGGTCAGGTGTCGGTGTCACGCTCTCAGCGATTGGGTTTTTAAAAAGGCAACTGAAGGGGATTTTCTGAGTCTTTTTACGTCCAGCTGAACAATCGGACAGAGTTGGAGTCTCCCCGCTGCACTCCGGTGACATTTTAGCAGAACAGCGTTTCTGTGCACCGGGTTGGAAGACAGATTTTGTCTTTCTTGGGTACCGAGGGATCTCAGCAAGCTGCTTTGCTGCAAAATGGTGAACGGCAATGTTTGCAGAGTCACTCGTCTTAATGGAGCCATCTGCAGGTTCAACAGGAGCAGAAGTTCTGCTTTTAAACTCTGAGACGCCTGGAGAGGTAGAAATACCCGAGAGATGTTTAGGAGGACGGGTGTTATCTGTAGGAAGCTGTGAGCTTTCATTCATGTCCGATTTGCTTTTGGAAGATGCAGGATTATCTTCATCTATAACAGGAGGATGCAAACGCTCCAGTTTAACTTCATGAAAAGCCATTTCAGCAGATTTCAGGGACTCTGGTATAGCTCCACATTGCTGAGTACCAGAGGAAAGAATAAGATCAGAGCTAGAAATCAGGCTGTCGTGCACTTGTAGGGAAGACAGGCTCTTGTACATTTTCTTGAAGGGTTTGTTTGGCTCATGTTTGATACTCAGTGAGACTTTTTGTACTTGATGTTGTGAACTTAAGAGAGGATCCTGGATTTCCTCCGTTTTTACACTTGAAGCAGTGAGTCTTTGACCAAGGGTGTAATTTTCCACTGATTTTAAGGACCTGAGGACAGCATCAACAGAATAGGGAACTTCCTTTTGTGTCGTGGAGCCTAAAGTGGCCTCGGTGGTGGTCTCTGCGGCAGAAGGGGTAGTAGATTCTTTCCTTTCAGGAGTATTATAGAAGCTAGGGAAAGACCTGTACAGCTGAGGTCCAAGCATGGCTTCCACTGAATAACAAACTGGCTCCGGGCAGTTACTGCTGGTTGATGAAGGGCTGTGAGGTCGGGCAGTGTCTGCTGCACACCGAAGAACAGCTTCATCTGTAACTGTGGCCATTTCTTGTATCTGGTGTACTGAGGGTTCCCCCTCTGTAGCTGCATCTGCGCTGCGGTAAAAGTTAGGCCTGAAAAATAAAAATGTCCAGTGAAGGTAACGTGCATGGATTATCAGAAAAATTCCTGTTAAAGGCTAAAAGCATCGTAACAACTTAAGTTCCTCTTAGAATACAGCAGCGAGTCGTGTTCAGATTAATGTCTGCTGCTCTGTAGTCCAGAGAAAATGTAATCCATCTTTTATGTACAGTCTATGCCTGCACATGAAAGCCCATCTTCTGTGTCGTCGGTCTCATATTCATGAACTAATCCTTCAATTACACTTACTGCACGTGAGGATGAGGACATGTTTAAATTCAGAGGTGCATACCTGAGCGGGTCCATGAAAACACTGGGGGTCCCGTTTGTTTCTGTCATTCCTGCCTCCTCTTTGCTCGCCAGCTGTCCCAGAGGCTCCTGCTCAGCTTTTTTTGCAAGCTCAGAGAGGTCACGTTGCCATTTTAATAACTGCAGTGAAAAGAAGCAAAGCATTTACATTTGATTTCAGCACAAAGCAATGCATGCAAAACGTTTTGAGACCATTTTCATGCCTGACTTCTCCATGCACACCTCATCCAACAGTTTTCCTGTGACGTCAGTAAGCGGCTCGTGAGAAAACTTGCAGTCTTCTCCTTGATAGCATTTTCCTTTTCTATGGAAAAACTTGCAAGGAAAAGACTGTGCAGCTTGGTATAGGAAATACAAGACAGCCAACAACCTCCGCTTTCATTTGGTTAACGAGATGTGTTTGTGGCAGCTTACAACAGTATATCAAAGGATATTGTGCATGTACGGACAGCTCTCCCCTTTTGTGCAGAAGCCTTGGATGTAAAATTTACAGACTTCTTTGATGAGATCGTTGTAACCCTGAATATGCTCCAGCTGGCAACTCTCAGCCTGTATCCAGGAAAGGAAAGAAAGCACATTTTTCATTTTTGCAGTCTGAAAAAAAGAGATTCAGGTAAAGTTAAATAATCAGCTGTGATGCAACCTGCCTTTAGGCATCGTCCGTAAAGAAAATGTCGACAAAGTAACCGCCCGTCCACCAACAGCGCATTCTGGTCCTTGAACTCCTGAGTCATGAACCTTGGCTTCACTTGAAAGTCCTAAAATAAAGGAGACACAAGTTAAATTTGATTCCACTGAAGGATTACTTGAATTAATGTGTCCGCTTCAATAAATATTCCAACTAACGCCGAAGGATCCGAGTATCTGTTTGTACTGATGGCGTGACATGAAATGGCGAGCCAATCCATCATAAACTCAAGCTGCTGCAGCTCTAACCAGCCGACGGTGGATGGCGTTTGTAATTAAAGCCATCCTGGAGTCTTGCTTACCATCATGTCATTTTCATGTCCTCTTCCGCCTCTCCCACCTCTTCCAGACATCGGTCTTCCTTGTCCACGGGAAAATCTCCCTCTCCGTCCCTCCTTGTGCTGATATGGATCTTTCTGTCCATCCTTCTTCTTCAGATGTTTCTGCCTTTGAGATTGACGGCCTCTGTTACTGAAGCCTTTGCTCAGTCTTTGCTCACCATCGCTGTTCTGCATTAAACACACTTTGTCCTTTGTGTTATCAGCTTTGGCGTTACTTCGAGTTCTGGTTCCCTGGGCTTGGACACACGGCTTCTGCAGAAAAATAAACACATAAAAATTTGATATAAAAAAATAAAAGTTCTACATTTTATTTTATTAGCAGCTACCGGCTGCTCCTTGGCCACAAAGGCTCACCACAGCAGGTAGGTTGGTAGAGTTTTACACCAAATGTTCACATTATAGCGCTCTTCAAGCTCTTCCCTTATCCTGCATGTTGTTGAACAGCGAGAGATCATGCAAACCAGACACTCTTCAAGAAGCTCCTTTCCACCACTCCTTCAGTCACTACCCACAGCACAGCCGTCCCAGCATCACTGCCAGTGCTTCCCCAATTCATCTCCTGTCTTCTCTTTCCCTTACTCATGAAGGAGCAGCTAATTTTCATCCCAGCTACCACACATTTGATACTAACCCCCCAACACTTTGATGCCAAACCCACCAGTGGAAGCTGGAGGTCACCGATTGATGAAGCGAACACCTCTACATGATGATACGTTAAAAGAAACAGCGCTTATCTGACACTGGCCCTCCTGTTTTTAAGCAACTCTCTTATGATTGGCTGTCGTAGAGACAGGATGGGTTGAACTCAAACTATGACAAACTAAAATATATTGTTTTAATGTGTTATGTCAAACCTTAATGCCAAGGTTAGCTCACCTTTTTGTGAGATCCAAACAGCTCGTACTGAGTTTTCCTCTTTCTCCCACCTCCCCCAGGCTCATTCCTGCCAAACAGAGAGAGTGAGTGATGAAGAGGAGGCCATAAAAACAGATCTAACCCCGGTAAACTTTCATTAAGTACCGCTGCGTGACGGCAGGCTGCCCCGCACTCTTCACTCCTTCATCCACAGCGGAGAGCCTCGAGAACAGGTTCGCAAAAGCCATCTTACTCCTATAATGTGCGTCTCTGTGTGTACAGAGCTCGGTCCGGAGTTATAAAGGTCCGATATCGAAAAACAAACAGGAAATAAACGTCTTTCACTTTACGCCGTCACGCGGATCACTTTATCAGAGGTCGCTCCAGCGATCGGGGTTTCGCTTGTGTACATGACGGGACGTTATTCAGCCGTTCACATTTAATTCCGTGTAAAAAAAAACAAAAACATTTAATTCCGTGTTCGATATTTACGTCACTCCACGTCACTTCCATACGACAGGGTCATTGGGTTAACGCTACGGACGCTTGTCGCCGCCTAGCGGTGAAGATTTGTATCGTCTTGTGTTAAACCTTGCAGTAATGGCACAGCCCTGAAACCTTTTGGATTCTCACTTGATAACAGCGCATTTTTGAAGTTATTTACCATATTTGATCGGACAGTAATATAAAATACCAAGCCAAGTGTGTGAGACTGTCTCTCACAGAGTGATACTGAAATAAACAATCAGTGCAATCTGAGTTATCCACCTTTGTTACTTTTTAAAAAAAATGTAAGATACATTATTAAAACCATGATGTTATGAAATATGTAAGATAGTTGATAATTCAGTTTAACTGGTCCAACCCTGGTCTCAGAGGTTCAAGGAGTCCAGCAGGTTGGGAAATCAAGAGAGCAGGAAAGATGGAGAAGAGCTGAGCATCATAAAGACCAGACAGAGGTGACAGCTTAAAAGTGGTTGTTGTGGCACACTGGCCCTAACGTTTAAAAGTTGAATTAACACTGTCAGCATGTGAGCGTGCCAGACAGAAGCGGGCTTACATCATCATGCAGGTGAATCAAAGAAAGCAGTACTTTAGACAGCATTGAACCAATACTTACACACACCTAACCTCAGATCTTGTGCCACATAAAGCACCTGGCCAAAAATATTAACTCCAGCTCAATGTACAGGGTGGGCCATTTACATGGATACACCATAATAACATGGGAATGGTTGGTGATGTTAAAGTCCTGTTTGTGGCACATTAGTATATGTGAGGGGGCAAACTCCTCAAGATGGGTGGTGACCATTTAGAAGTCGGCCATCTTGGATACAACTGTTGTTTTTTCGATAGGAAGAGGGCCATGTGACACATCAAACTTATTGGTAATGTCACAAGAAAAACAATGGTGTGGTTGGTTTCAACGTAACTTTATTCTTTCATGAGTTATTTACAAGTTTTGACCACTTATAAAATGTGTTCAATGTGCTGCCCTTTGTGTTGGATTGTCAATGCAATGTGTCTGCTTTGTGTGTGATTGGATCACCTTGTGTGAGCTACTGAACAAACGCACTTTGTCATCCATCAACAGGAACAGCACAAGTTCAGATATGCTAAAAAGATGAGATAGAAGCCGGACTTTGTTCCTCCACATATGAGGCCGTCCCTGAGTCAGGTTTAAAGTTCAGGTCACGCAGACAGTTTCAGTATTACCTCACTGAGTGTCGCTCCCTCACTCTCTGAACTCTCTGTTCACACTGAGCTGCCTGTATCACAGGATGACCCGCTGGGCTCTTCTCGCTCCCGTCCTGCTGCTCCTGCTGGGCCTGTTCATCCACAGCGCTCTCAGTCAGGAGGCCGGAGACCCAGCAAATGCACCACCTGCACAGGGCCAAGCAGCTGACAGCACACAGGGAGAGGATGAAGATGGGGACTGGGGACTAGGGACCCTCCGCGACAGCTTTGAGGCCGTCGGCGGATACTTTGACTCCATGCTGGAGTTCATGGGCGGACGTGACGGAGTGTGCCAATACCGCTGCAGATATGGTAGGTCTGCTAGGTGAACATGTGGTATTACATAGTCTGGTATAAGGCCATGTATGCATCTGTGTTTGTATTATTGTAGGGCCTTTATAATAAAAAGCATACATAAATACAATTATTGATAAACAGCAAAGCTAGATACCTGCACTGGAAATGGTCAGAGTTTCAAATTACGAGGTCAGTAAAGATAAAACGCTTCAGGCTGCTCTAAACATTCAGTTTCCAGGCAGCTTTTTTTTCTACTGCTGGCTCTGTATGATGTCATCCCTCATCTGCGGTCTGTGACGAGCAGCAAATTAAATCCCCGATCCTGAAAAAGTTTGAAAAGCTGTGTAAAGTGTACATAACAAGAGAATGGAAGGATTTGTAAATCTCATAAACTCCTATTATATTCAGAATGGAACATTTGACGCTGAACGTTACACATTTTTAAACTGACAAAATGCAACATTTTGAGAAAAATGTTACGTTCATGTTAATTTGGTGGCAGGAACAAATCATAGAAAGGTTAGCAGTTCAGCACCCGAAGCCATGCTGCTGGAACAGCTTGTGGTTTAGTGTTGTTTTGCTGAAATATGCTTGGCCTTCCCTGAAAAAGGGCGTCATCCTGATGGGGGAGCATGTGTTTCTCTATAACCTGTCGATACCGTTCAGTATTCATGGTGCATTTCCAGATGTGCAAGCTGCCAGATCCAAAGCCACTGATGCACCCGAGCGTCAGAGATGCAGGCTTTAGGACTGAGCACTGATGGCTGAACAAACCAGACAGTCCTGTCCTCTCTAGTGTGGAGGACACGGCATCCATGTTTTCTAAAAATAATGTCACATTTTGATGAATCTGACCACAGAAGAGTTTTTATCTTGGCCTCAGTCCATTTCAAACGTGCTCTGTCCCAAAGAAGACAGCGGATGATGTTCAGCTTTGCCCCTTCCCTCCTTATTCTCTGAATGTTTTAATGATAATCCGAGTCTTCAAGATTTTATGTTGTGTACATCACTCTGAGATTGTTTCAGACTGGCGCCCCACGTTCTTACATGTTCTTGCATGTTGGAGAGTCTCTGTCTCGAGCAAGTAGACAACAGTCTTAAACGAACTCTGCCTCCTTTTTTGAAGCATTTAATATTTAAAGCTTGAACAAAGCCGCTCTTCACCTTTGAACAGCCAGCTCTTTTAATTGTAAGAATGCCCTAAAACTGAACCCTTTATGAATACGATCATGATTCCAGTAATCCCAGTAATCATCTTATGATATTTCTAATAAACACAAATCAGCTGATTACAAATGTGCCCAGTTAGTAAGTATGTACGCACAGCTTTTGCAGATCTTCCTCTCTCACTCTGTCAGTTATCTCACCTGATAACTTCTTGATCACCTCCTTCTCTCGGAGCTAATAGGATTTATTCAGAAAGGTCTTGTACACGCTGATATTTGTCGCGGTTGTTATCTGAGCCTGGAAATGGACTGTGAACTCTGATAGGAGAGGTTTTATGTGCTGACTGGGTCAAACATCAAGTGATGTGCAACATGTCATCTATGTGCAAACATGGATCTATTTTAAATCCACGGGGGTATCAACCAGAGCCCGGCACAGTCCTGCTGGCCTGTTGCAAAACATGACCTACATTTTAATTAATTTTAATTGATTTATTTATTAATTGCTATTTCTCCCTCAGGTAAAGCTCCTGTTCCTCGTTCGGGCTACCAGATGCCAGAACCAAATGGATGTAGCTCCTACTTCTTCGGTCTTCCTATTCCAGAAGGGGTAGGTCTCTTCTGTCTGTTTAGAGCAAATTTATTTGGAAATCATCAATACTGTTATGAAAAGCTGGATCCATCTTCACAAGGCGCTTATAGAGTTTGGGTGGAGGACAATCGAGGCCCCATAGAGAGTAATGAGCATTTGCTTCTAATCAGAAAAAGTGTAAGCCAGTTTCAAGAGCTGCTGGAGCTTCGTCTTCTTTAGACTTCATGTGTCTCTCTGTGAATCTTGAACATTAGAAGCCTCTGCTCTGTTTCTACACATTTTATTGTTTTCAGTAACCAGGACATGATTTTAGAAAGTTAGTGTGTTGCTCGTACATATCTTAGGATTGAGCTCCGCGCGGTGGGGCAGGCACCAAAACAGATGAACAAACAGCAAGAGAGCAAACCTTAAATTAAAAAGAGCACACGTTTAGGTTTCAAACTCCAGGAGCAGGTTTCTGGGTATTATTGGTAATAAAACAAAAATATGTGACTTTCCATAACTGAGCTGTGTACAGTTAATATTTTGTCTTATCCCTGTTTTTTTACAACGCTGTGTTCATTTGTGCAGCTCGGAGGAAATCTCGTTTTGATGAAAAATTGCTTCCAGCTTGTTATGTTACTTCAGCACAGCTGGAAACAGGAGACTTGTGATTTTTACACTGTTAGCTTATTGATTCTGGGAGCTACATGTCTGCTCAGCTCTACTCAAGAAAACAACTCGAGCGACGCATGACGCTCAGTTCAGCATTATTTATTAATTTATTGGTGTCTGCTAAAGTCTACATCTTTACTGTGTCTTCTAAGTAAAGAAGTGAAGTGATGAAGTGACAGCAGTTAAGACAGGAGGAAAGCTCTGTCTGCAAAGTAGTATATGCACTACATACATGCCAACACCTACTGTATATTACAACTATTAATTAGTGGAGTTTCCATGAAGGAACAGCAAAGCAGGAGGCTGTGGGAGATGCTTTTAAAATCCAGGAGAACTTGGGAAAAACAGGAGTGCATGCAAGTAGACTGGAGGAAAAAGAGGGTGAACTCCACCTTTAATAAAGGCACTCAATCTAAAAGCATCTGAGGTGTTTACTAAAGAAATATTACTTTGTTTATGTAATAAAAAAGTACACAAAAAGTCCACACAGAGAGGCGACAGCAGAGCTGTAAAAATTCGTCCGATGAAAACCAAATAAAACCTGATCTCAGAACAAACAACAAACCTATTTCTGATGGAGCTAATAATGCTAATAATGCACTTGTACACAAACACATTGATCTTTCCTGCTGTGTGTCAGATGGACATGGGCATCCCTGCCATGACTAAGTGCTGCAATCAGCTGGATATGTGTTACGACACCTGCGGCTCCAACAAGTATCGCTGCGACTCCAAGTTCCGCTGGTGCCTCCACAGCATCTGCTCGGACCTCAAGAAGAGCCTCGGCTTCGTGTCCAAAGTGGAAAGTCAGTAATATTTGAACGTTCCTTTCATGCACCGTCATGTTCTTCTTCGTGATATTTTAATCACTGATCTCTGACTGTAATCCGAGTACGTCAGCTTCTGTTGATCCTGTGCTGTCCTGTTTCTTATTTCTCAGCATGTGAGACTGTAGCAGACACCTTCTTCAACACAGTGTGGACTTTAGGCTGCAGACCGTACATGAACAGCCAGAGGGCAGCATGCTACTGCCCGGGAGAGGAGAAGGACGAACTTTAGATGAACAACTGGATCTTCTGTGTTTATAAAACAGCGTCAGCAGCGACCGCATTCCCAGGTGATTTTGCTCTGAGTTGTGGTGTTGCAAAGGTGGAGTAATTTATTAGGAAGTTCTTGCTTTTATCTTTTTTGAATTCCTCATGAAAACTGTATTTGTGTACATGTAGAGTTGGTTTAAAAGTCTTTAACGATACATGACGGAGTTTCAGAGACAGTAACTGGTTCACAGCACACAGCTGCCATTGAGTGTGTGCTGCCTTCTTTTATTTGATGGCGCATTACTGACAAAGTCAGCCCTTAGTTAAAACCATAAAAATACAGGAGAAATTTTGTCTGTATGTATGTGAAGTTTCTTCCTGTTAAAAGGGAGTTTTCCCTTCCCACTGTCACCAAGTGCTTGCTCACAGTTTCTTTCTAACATTGTCGGGTCTTTACCTACATTATAAAGCGCCTTGAGGCGACTGTTGTGGAGAATTGGTACTGTAGAAATAGAACTGACGTGAACTGAATTTCTTTTGCATTAAAAACAGTTTCAAAGATAAACAAACACTAAACCTTTTGTCGTTCCATCATTTGCTTTGCACACTGAAGGACTGGACAGATGTTTTCACACATCTATTAGTGCTAGGTGTAACTTGCCACTGTAATCACATTACATTTTTTGGTCAGGCAGTAATATGATTCTGCATGAGCAGTGATAAATTACAGCAATGCAATCACATTACAGACACTAGTAATCAAGCAATTACGTTATCACTCACAGTGCGGAGGGTCTTTAATTACCTATAATGGACGTGCCTTTGTCCTTTTAACACAAAGAGCACATTTATCTCAGTTTTCATCTTATCTGTTTAATTTGCTGATAAAGTCTTGTGTGCTGAAACACTTCAGGTCAAACACGACAATGCTGTGATTATAACGGTATTCTAAATTTTATTTAAAATGTGGGTGACTTGGAATTTTGTGATGTTTTCTTCATCTCAGGCCACTTGTTAACCAGTTCCCAAGTAACTCAAGTTTCAAACCTTCCCCGAACATGAACACGACTCAGGTTACTTCCTTTATGAAAGACATGTTCAACATAATGTGAAAAACAGACCAGAAGGTGGCGCTACATAAAAAGCCTGAGGATCCTTCCACCATCAGCTGTAATTTATGTTATTTAGGAACTCAGCCACAAGCTGTCAGACCATGTGAAGCTACAGAGAGGAGTCAGAGGCTGTGTCCCAATTCAGGGTCTGCACGCTTGAAGTACGCGCACTACGCGTACTACGTACGGTGCGTACTATAAGTACGAGAAGTGCGGAAGTGAGAGGCTTGTGAAATGGGACGCTTCGTCGCGCTGTTCAGGTTGCCTAGCAACCATGATACTAACCGCGAGACACGTTACATACAGCTTTGTTTGACAGAAATGAAGGAGAAAAATGTTTTGTTTGCGGCAAAATTATCCACACCCACCGCCGCGCTATGAATTGTGGGATATATGGGACCACGAAGCGTGGACCGGACCACGCTTGATATTTGGGGAAATCGACGGCGCATTTGGAGTATGCATTTGAAGCACACTTCGAATTGGGACAGCCGTCGTCGCGTGGCGGTGACGTAACCGCACTTGAAATGCGTACTTCAAGCGTGCAGACCGTGAATTGGGACACAGCCAGAGTCACCAACACCTTGCCAACTAACCGCAGAGGTCCAACCCTCCTCTGTATGTCTCAGTGTGTTTGTGCAGCTGCTGTAGGTCTGTGGACTCAGTGGACGTTTTTATTTGTTCTTTTAAGAAACAAATAAAAACGTTTTTGTTTTTTTTAGACTTGCATTTAGCTAACACTTTTCTTTATGCTTTCTTGTGAAGCTGGCAAGTGATTCTTGTCTTGAAGGGTGCTATATAAATGAAATGTTCTTACTATGTGGCCCAGTGGTTTTGTCCATATTGTGTAAATGTACAGTTAGTTATGGGTCATCAACATGCACGCCTGTTTTTGTAAGATTTCTTTATTAGTGTGACAGAGTGAATGTAAAACTGGAAACTGTACAGGCTGAAACGTTTTTAACGATGAAAATATACATTTCTCATTAACAAACTACAGTACGGCCTACAAAAAATAGTTCTTGTAATCAACATTAAACAAAACTGGTGACATTCACAGAAGCACAGAGCTAAAACATGAAAGCAGACCAATAATGAACTGTGCAAAAATCTATTTCAGATGACAGAAAGGCGTTGGAGGTCAGGGACAAATGTAGAGGAAGAATTAAACATTACATGTGAACAAGGCTGAAAAAATACAAATCCTCACCGGACACAGACGCCTGGAAAAAGGGGGAAAAATAGTTAGCAGACAGGATCAAACACATTTACATCAGCAAGCAGTTAAAGAAAAATGTAAATTCAACAAGAATTTTTCAGGACTTAAAGACATGCAGCTCTTTTTCACTGAAGCTGTGCTAATGCTGAAACCACTGCTGATAGTGGCTCCGCTGCATGAAATCAGCACTTGCTGCCAACAGATTTCATTAAAAAAAATTGAACCCCAGTTCTGCAAACAACTGCACGTAACCATCAGCACGTAAACCTTTGGAAAAGTGAGCTGGTTCTCTCCAAAGGAAGAACTGGAGCCGCACTGGGACATGCAACGCTACTGAGAGCAATAACCTGCAAAAATATGCCGGCTGTAACAAAAGTTGATTTTTTTTACAGACAGAAGGTTCAACAAACATTCCAATTTCAACAAATTTACATTTCTGAAATGATTTCATGGTTCAGGCTTTAATATTACAGTCACGCTGCACGAGCTGTGCGTGATTGTTCAGCCAGTGCTCAAAAACAAAGATGGAGAACTGTAACCTGCAGAACCAGAATAACCTTTTAACTATGAATCATAGGAAACGTGCCAGGCTGAAGTGGAATTATCCTTTAATTTTCCTTTGAATATACTTACTTCGTTCAGTCTATCTCAGAGATCAGGGAGTTTGCCGGCTGCATGACTTTGGACTGAGGCATCTGGCTCGTGTTCTTTACCTTCTGGTTAAAAGCTTCAAGCTAGAAAAATAACCAAAGAGAAAAACGATTTATGATGACACGATGATGACGGCTGTCACAACAGGAAACTCGGAGCATAAAGCAGGGAAACAATTCCAGATTATAGCAGAGATAATGTAAAACATAACAACAGACTGAGATCAGGATTATGAAACTGAGATTCAGATGAAGTAATGATACTCAGAAAAGTATATCTAAGGTTTTAAATGACATGCTTGACAACTGTTACAGATGCAGGGCATCAGTCATGTCTTCAAATGTTTAAAATTCTAAAAATAGAAGTGATTTTCGTGACGTGTGACAGCGTCTGCTTATGCTTAAAATACATATTGACACATCTTAAGTGTCTCAGACTGAGTACTGGGAACTCTGCTGAAGTTGATCCTCAGACCAAAAACACACATCAAAGAAATACTTTGAGCTTCCTGCAGTTTTAGTTTTAGTAAAGAAAAAAATAAAGTAATAATCCATCCCCAGAATTAGATCTTTTTTCATTTTTTGCATAACAAAATTTAATAAAGTTGGGCTAAATTTTACCATCGTACTACTAAACGTTTCTGATTTAGAAGAATCTTAAAGTATATATGGAGCATTTTATTATGTAAAATACATTCATAAGTACAGGAGATAAAACACATGACATTTTTAGGGCTGATAAAGCAGACAAAGCATCCATGGTACCAATACTCTGTTCCTCTATGCCACAGATATCACATCAGTGAGAATCTGACACATCCAAGATACTGATGCTCACACTGGGATTAAGAATTTCATGCTGATATCTCCTGCACTTAAGAAGTTATGAACGGTCAAAAATATATTTAAAAAAAAGAAAACAAATTTGAACCCCTTCTAACTGAAAATGTTCACTGGATGAAGGTAACAGCATGCATGGCTTCATTAAATATACTGAAGTAATTGTGCTCAGTGTCCTCTGAGTCACTACATTTCATTATCAACAACAACAAGCAAGGCAAATAATGGCACAACCTAACCTCTCAGCATGGCATGGCCTCAAGAGCTGGCCAAACCGACTGAACACCAACCTTTTTCCTCAGGTTCGCCTTTATTTCCTCCTCTGTTAGCTGCGGCTTCTCCTCTTTTAACTCCTCAGTGCAGGGGTCATTACCCACAGTCTTGGTGCATACCTTTGAGTCCTGTGGTGCCAGTGGTGTCTTCAATGCATTATTGTGTTTCTCTAAAATACTTTTGGGATTCCTGAAATCTCCCATAAGTTTTTTGCGACCCCGTCTCCAGTTGTGTCCACCTGTGAGGCTCTGAGAGGATGCCTGCTCGGTATTGATGACTCTCAGGCAGCGAGAAACAGAGGCTGACCCATCTTGGCCTTCGCTCACAGACAGGTCCGGGTTTGGAAATGAGGCACTGTTTGTAAGAAGGCTGGGATCAGGGAAAGCCATGTTAGGTGCCACTACAGAGCCAGGAAAGTGCGGGTAAGGTTGGCTGCTGGCAGAAAGAGAGGGAGGAGTGTTGTACTGATTGTATGACCAGTAAGGATTTGTAGCACCGCTGTAGTGGCCACTCTGGCTAAGAGCAAAATGCGAGTACTGAGACAAAATGTAGTCTGGATATGGAGAAGCAGCAGGATGAGGAAACACGGGATTTTGTGAATATGGATAAGCAGAAAAATGTTTTGAGTCTTTTCGCTCTCTGTCCCTCAGTGTTTCTCTGCTGTTCCATCGATCTCTGTGTTTCAGTCTCTCTCTGCTTCTTTCTCGCGAGCGGCTTCGTTCGGCCTTCCGCCTCCGTTTCAAATCTCTGCTGCGAGAGCGTCGACGGCATGAGGGGCTCGGGCTAGAGCTTCTAGAGGTTGACCTGGAGGAAGATGAGGACGAGGAATTTCTGTGATCTCTAAGAGAGCGCCTCTGCTGTGTCTCGTCCTCCCCTCTGCTCTCAGTCCTCCTCCTCCCTTCACTCTTCCTCACCCTCCCTTCGCTCTTGCTCCCATGCATTCTCTCCTGACTCTGGTCTGTTTTGCTGCTCCGCAGAGGAGAGCCTGATGAGGACTTCCTGCGATCTCGGTCACGAGAGTGCTCCTGGCGGCTCTCGTGCTCCTCTTTGCTGTTCACACGTTCGTTTTTTCTCCCGCACAGCCTCTCCTGAGTGCGGTTTGCCAGTTTGCTCAGCTCGTCCACGTCCAGGTTCCATCCCAGAGTTTTAAGAATGCTCTGCAGCTGTTCATGCTGCTCACTCACCGATGAGGTTTCTTCCTCCTCCTTCTTCTTCAGTGCCACCGGAGACTTTAATCGATTACTAGAGCCCAAACTGTGGTCTCTTTTGCTCTTCTTCTTCTTCTCCTCCTCCTCACCAGGTAAGAAGAGCCTCTCTCGAGTAGATGAGTCAGTCTTTTTCTCTCTACTGTTGGTCTTGTTGAGGCCTGCCAGCAGGTTTCTACCATTTGACTCGCTGTCACTGTCATCACCGAGCCCGGGAATTAGGGCACCACTCTTTAAATGCTGGCTCTTACTGTCCTGGTTGAGACCCTTCAGCAAGGGTCCACTTTTCAACGACTGGCTCTTGCTTGCCCAGTTGAGGTTCAGCCTAATGGGCTTAGTGTTTGAGAGTTGGTTCTCACTGGGTGATGTGGCTCCAGTATTTAACTGTTGGCTTTCATTGGCTTGGCTGAGGCCCGTCAGCCGGACTCCACTGTCTGACCGCACACCGTCTTTGGCTTTGTTGAGTCCAGGCTGTGGAGCACCACTGCCAGTACCTTCACTGGACTGGCTGAGGCCCCTCAGCGAGGCTCCAGTATTTAATCGTTGGCTTTCCTTTGACTGGTTGAGGCCCGGTTCACCTTCATTGGCTGTACTGAGTAGACTCTCATTTTTCTGACTGAGATCCTTCAGTGAGGATCCACTCTTCGATCGATGGCTCTCACTTTCCCATCCGTGGCTTAGAAGAATGGGTCTAGTTTTTGAGTGCTGGTTCTCACTAGGTAGGCTGAAGCCTGACAGTGAGGCTTCGGTATTTAACTGTTGGCTTTCACTGGCGTGGTTGAAGTCTGTCAGCAGGGCTCCACTGCCTGCCCGCTCACTGTCACTGGCTTTGCTGAGTACTGGCTGTGAGGCACCGCTGCCAATACTCTTGCTGGGATGGCTGAAGCCTTTCAGCGAGGCTTCAGTCTTCGACCACTGGCTCTCACTGGCCTGGCTGAGTAACAGAATGGCTCTACTGTTTGAGCACTGGTTTTCACTGGGTGGGCTGAGACCTTGCAGTGAGGCACCACTAAACAACCGTTGGCTTTCCTTTCTCTGGGTGAGGCTTGGCTCAATGTCATTGTCCATGCTGAGTATACTTTCACTGGGCTGTCTGAGGCCCAGCAGCGAAGCTCCACTATTCAGCTGTTGCTTCTCAGTCCTAAAGGGTGGATCTGATTTGCTCTCCACGTCAGGGATCTGAATGTTCAGGGGCTCCTCACCTAAAGGAAGATCCTCTCTATCATTGCTCATAATCTTGTTAAACTTTTCGATGTCCACGCCTTTGTTGAGGATGCTGAGGAAGCGCTCAAAACCCTTGTTGACATTATTTTCATCCTTTGCTGGTGAAGAAATGCTTCGACCGAGAGGTGGCAGTGACACACCAGGGACCTGAGAAGGAAAAAAGAGATTACTGTGTCATTACTCAGAGAAGAGTAGAAAAGTAAAGCATTCTCATGTTGATCAAAGCTTCTTCTTATTTTATGATTCATTCATATAATACTGCATGTAAGTGGAGGTATGGTGTGGTTGAAATACAAAGAAAAAGCAGAAAAGCATCAACTGTACAACCTCGCCACAGTCATCCTCAGGTTTGAGCAAGTTGATGTCGACTCCTTTGTTGAGCACGCTGAGGAAGCACTCGAAACCCTTGTTGATGACGTCCTCTCTCTTAGCCGGTGATGTAACGCTTGGGCTGGAAGGAGGCCACGCAACGTCAGGGCCCTGAGAAAGATCAGAAATTCACTTTACTGTTCAACCAGCAGATTCGTGGTGAGAAGCTCAGATGCTGTCATAAAAAGGAAAATTACATGCTGCCATGATCCAGGTCTCAGGTAAACACGTCTGAAATTGTTCTCAGCACTTCCAAATCATCAGCCACTCAAAAGATAATGGCCATATTTCAGCGTTTTATAGCACATTAATAATGTTAAGACAAAAGATAACATTAGCATTTACTACTTCATTGCCTTGACACAACAGAAAGACTGTCAACTGCTGGATCAACAACATAAGGACTGTACAGTAACAGCAGCTGGTTATTCCTCTGTTACAGAGGCACCTTGAACGCCTTCGTCACAAACAAACACTAACACCACAAACACATTGTAATTTGGGGGAAAACACTGTTATTCACACACATCCTGGTGGCGGTCAGAGGGCCCGGTGGCGCCAGTGTCCAGCAGCCTCGCCTCTGTCAGTGTGCCCCAGGGCAGCTGTGGCTACAATGTAGCTGCCATCACCAGTGTGTGAATGTGTGAATGACTGAATGTAGCGTAAAGCGCTTTGGGGTCCTTAGGGACTAAGTAAAGCGCTATACAAATGCAGGCCATTTACATCCATCCGAAATGTTTGTTCCAATCACTTCAGCTGTGAGGGCTTTGTGTGGCACGATATTAACCCCCGATTCTTTTGTCCCCGTGATAGAACAGAGAAAACCGACTCATAGTGTGTTAAAAGATCTATATTTCTTTTTATTCAATAATCTTCCGGAAGAGAGAGACCCCTGCACAGCTCAAACGCCAGCTGCAGGATCTCTAACATTAGAATCATAAACTGTGCCTCATATAGGTTTTATTTTGGTACTTTACACGTCACACAGTTTCAAACATTGCTTATATGGAAAGTTCCTCTTTTCTGTGTCTTATCTATTAATATATCTGTGCACTAAAACTTCCTGTTTTTCAGTCTGGCTGAGCACTTTGTGAGTCAAAAGTGGCCTTGCTCTACAAGACTTCATTATTAAAGTACATAAAACAATATAATAGGAAAATAAGGATACTAAGGATATTGATTTCATGACACATACCTGTTCACTGTAAGGTGGTACAACAGTGTGTCTCTTCTTCATTAGAACCTTCACTCTGAGCTTCAGAGGATGCTGTTCCTGCAGCACACCGCCTTTGCTCGGGCAGGAGGAGCTCCTTCTCTCTCTGGCCGACTGCACCTGAATAATAGAAAAAGAAAGCTTTACACATGAACGAGATTTTTGAAATTGTGACATTGAGTCACTACGAGTCTACAAGTGATGAGGTTTCATTTCTTTTACTTTATATTAGGCCCTGTGTTTTTCAGCACTGAAAATCTCATGTAGATATTCCCTGTATAAAAAAAATAAGGCAAAAATCCTATGTACCCTACTTCATCTAAATCTCAAGTATTTATAATGTGAAGGTCATATTTTTTGTTATCCAAATAAACAAAAACAAAAAAAGAACAAAAACATCTGATTCTAAGGGGATCAGGTGGGTCGTGCAAAAAAAAGAAACACACTTTACTCTGAGAGTCTATTCAGTGCTCCTCACCTTTGAGAAATAGCTGAGGTATTGTCGCTGCATCAGAATCTCCTTCACTCTGTCTCTTAGAGTTTGACCTACACACATAGCCGGAGGCTCGTCACCGGAAACACCTGGTGGTGTCTCCACAAACCGCGTTTTCGTGGCGAGTGTAGCTTTCTTGTGCATAATTCTCTCCTCCATCTCTCTGAGGAGCTGCTTGTTTCTTGCTAGCTCTACATCCTCTTCACTGTATGGCAGTGGCTCTCCGTCCGGGTCCTCCACCTCTGGGACTTTACTATGAACGTGATGAGATGAAGAACTGAGCTCTTTCCACCTCACATCACTCCTATGTGGTTCAGGAACAGTATATCTCGAGTGTTCGTGGTAAGTGTCCCACTCTCTGTAACCTCTGGAGGCATTCCCCATGCTGTGGCAGCTTGGCTCCAGAAGTCTCTGGAGTTTGTGGACAGCATCTTTCCACTCACGTTGATTCATTCTGCAGTCTCTCCAAGTGTCTAAAGCAGAAACAGTAAGTAAGAAATATGCAGCAAGTATGGGTAAAGATAGATGTGTATGTATATTGTGAAGCCATTACATCCTCCCATAATGTAAACACAAAGACATAAAGGCTATTTTGGACCAGCTTCGAGCTTTCATGTTGTCTTTATGCTTGTTTCACAGCAAAACCCTCAGCCTTAGCTTACATGAACGCTCCTAATGAGCAAACACAGACCCAACCAAAGTAACCAAGTAACAACCAAACCCGGCAGCCGTCACATCACACTCGTTAACGTGTGGACAGTCGGTCTAACATACTGTAAGGTGTTTACACAACTTAGCATCGTTGCTAAAAAGACTGGTCACCTACTATTGCCGTGGAAAACGAGAGCTTCTTCTTTTACATCGTGGAAAGATTTTTCATTTTTAAGCTAAGAGCCACTCGGAGAAAGAACAGTGAAACTCCAACATTAATGACGTTTCGGTAAAAAAAAATGGGAACCGTTAAAGCTAAACGAGCTTTTGGTGTTAACAGAAAGAGGCCATTACTGATCACATTGCTTCGGTGGTTTAGGTGAGTGAAATGTGACAGCAGCGCCCCCTGCAGGACAGAGTACTGACACTGCAGGAGAAAAACAGGTCAGGTGGTCGTAAGCCCCCCCCCCCCCAAAAAAAAAAAAAAAAAAAGATTCCTGGGCTGCAAAGAATTATCATTTTATAAATTTACTTACCAAATAAAACTATTTATAAAAATAAATGCATTTAGAAGCAAAAACATTTCACTATCGCTGTTTAAAGATTGCCCTTCAGACTCCAGCCTCAGATGGTTTTAAACTAACAACTAGTCCGCACTTTTTAGCTGTTTGTAAATGCTCTCTACATCAGTTTTTTTTAATTCTTTAACTATGACGATGTATTGAACCATTATTCCTGAGATTAAACCTTAGAAAAAAAATTGCAGTTGCAACATGCCTTTTTCTTCACTCAGTATATTTCCCTTCATTATATACACACATTCATTCATTCATTCATTCAGTCATTTATCCTCTACTGTCCTCCTTCAGGGTCGTGAGGGTCTGGAGCCTAAAAGCTCTGATTTGATCTTTTCTGTTTGAAGTTAGTATTTTGCTTCAAAGCATTTTGTATACACTGTTTTTTCCATAAATAAGGCTATCATCATCATCATTATTATTATTATGATTAACTTCACCTCACTATTATTTAAAGTTACATGTTGAGTCTTGGCTCTATCTTAAAAATCACATTTTTAGAAATATATCCAAATACTTTATTCAATATTACTGCTCTAATTTTATATTGAAAATGTCATTATTTATTCTAATTTGTTACTTTGTGAGCTAATTTGTTATATTCATTTATTTTATTGACCAAAGTACTATTTCATGTTTTGGCTGCTATAACGGTAATTTCATTTTTGAGTAGTATTGCTTATAAAGCATCTATAGAGCATCTTATACAGCCTCTATAATTTAAACCTTTTAACCAAAATAATTCTAAATTATTATTTCAAATAAATTTCCCCTACCTTAGACATTTTAACATGATTTTATAAAGCTTTTAAAAAAAACATTTGTATTCCTATCTGCTGCTTGTGGTTGGACTAAACTGAAGGTTAACAGCTGAAACCAGTTTTGCCTCTCTCGTTGGCCGAAGGCTTTTTTCTCCTGTAAAGGAAATGTGCTCTGGGTTTAAAACGTCAGTCAAATTCATTGATTAAATCATTGTTTAAAAACAAAATTGGAAATTCATATTTTCTATTACAGAGCCTTTCAGGTTAGTTGTGGCGAGAACAGCGCCACAGTAAATCTGTACACGTTCAATAACTCAGCACACAGTCAAAGTATTTGCTTTTTTGTTTAATATTATCCAGTTCAATATTTATACAGCAAATTTCTGCATGTTTACAGAATAAGAAAAATATGTAAAGAGACAGAAGTGTAGAGCATGTCTTGTAGTTGTAGGTTGGCCTTTGAGCTAATTAATGAACATAAAGGCTCCTATATAAAGACAAATATTATGTCCACAAAAATAAAATGCATCAAATTTTAGTAAAACTTTAACAAAATAACATTTTTGTACTTTCAGTATTTGTTTTATTTATTTTTTCCTAGAGTGACCGGGCTATTATAAGCTACACCAACCAAACAACATTAAAACCACCTGCTTCATACTGCCTGAGGAGTCCAGGCATGCATGCAGGACCTCCGAGCGGACGCTGCAGTGGATCCTTTGGGTCCTGTGAACCTCTGAGAATTACAGTGGTCCAGCTTCGTAGGCTGGCTTAATAACTTGTTGTAGTATAACGGGCTGCACTGCCATACAAGAGGAGGCTGCTGCCATCAGCCCAATGCCTGGTCTGCATCAAAGCTGTAACAATGTCAAAAGAGCATCCGTGTGAATTCAAGGACCCGAGCTGTTTCTACTTCCACTGTCGGCAGTTTTAATGTTGTGGCAGACTAGTGAATGTGTGATGGGTATGAGAGCAGACCGAGAATCAAGAAGAGCTGCAGCACCACCTACAGTTTGTCATCAAACTCACGATACAGTAGCTGATAATGTCATTGTGTTGTTCTCTTAGTTGCCACTGGACTGATTGCTTGCAAATGTTCACTGTGATGTTCTCTGATGCTTCAAATGCGTGTTTTGTGGTTAAAAAGAGACTCCCTGAAGGCTCAGCTGTTTCCATCAGTCAGTTTCAAAGTCTCACTTCCACCCTGCGCAGCCTCGTTTATCTAGGCTTTTTTTTGGTTTGAATAACCTGCAAACAGCGGGGCCTTGTCAGTGGTTTGGATTTTTGCGTTGTGTTCACTGGCTGAACTGCACTTACATTTGATTGGCTGAAATACGGCAGCTGTGGATGATTAACGTGATGCGGGAACATGTGGCTCGCTTGCGGGAGCATGGTTGGATACATGTTCATAGGCGGGATGCCGGGGTACGGGACGAAGGGTGGCATAATAACCCCCGGCCCAACATGGGGCATTGGTGGAGGCACAGGAGGTGGGTATGGCATCGGTGAGCAGTTGACCGGAGGGTACGTCGGCACCACCGGAGCAGATGGAGGTTTGGATGAAGGGTATGAGGAATTAGGAGAAAATGGTTGTAATGCAGCAGCGCTCTCCTGAGATTTCCCTTCGCAGTTCTTACTGTCCTGTACTGTGCTGCTGCTCGTCTTCTGGTCATACTCAGCAGATTTGTATACTTGATGCACATCTGTTACATCCCTCTCTGCACTGTACGAGTCTTTTTTACTGTAATAATTCTGATTTAAGGGGCTAAAACTAGATCTGCTTGATGATGATGATGCTCTACTTTGACGTCTCGGGGAAATCGGTCGCCCCGTGCCCTTCTCCCTCACAACTTTACGAGCCAAATCACCATCCTTCTTCCCATACAGCCGCTCCTGGATTCTATGAGACATTTGGCCAAGCTCTTCAAATCCCAAATCCATGCCAATGGCCTGCAGCACATCCTGCATTTGCCTACGCTTGTGTTCATCCTCAGGTGGCAGCGGCACCCTTTCCACCACCAAGGGGGACCTGGATCTGCTGTGGAAGTAGGCTTCCCTGCCATCATTCCCCTGAAGGGGCTTTTCATCAGAGAGTGGGCACCGTTTTGGGCTGATGGACCTTCGATGAGTCTGCGGGGAAACTGGTCTGCGGGACCTTTCGCTTTCACTCCAGTAGCTGTTATCCTGGTGGCTTCCTTGATTCCTCCCAGCATTGTGAGTTGGAGACCACAGATGATCAGCAGGGCTCGGTAATAAAGTTTGAGAAACGGGTTGATCGTCGTCATCCGAGGTCTGAGTCACAATCTTAGTGAGAACGTCGACATTCACGCCCTTGTTTAGCACGTCGAGGAAACGCTGGAAGCCTTTGGTTGACTTCTGCTCAGAAACAGCTGCACTTCGACTGGGTGCATCACTCTCAAAAGACTGATGGGAAGCACACAAACGTCACAGGTATAAGAGTCAAACAAATCTCTGGAAGGTTAAACATTTTCACACAATTTTCTGGGACACTTCTGAAAGCAAATCAAACACGAAACAGCAGTGTACGTGACATCTGAGAGCGGATTTGTAAAGCTACTGCAGAATAATGAGCAAGTGAAATACAATTACAGTCTATTACACCTTGTTTTCTTCTTGTAGCTGTTTATTGTGTTAATCAATATTCTGTCTGCTTTGAGGCCAGTTTTGATGTGCATCCCGTTTTGTTGTCACACTCATATTGATAAACCGTTAGAGTGGTCATTTCATTTATGTCAGGTTACAGGTGAACAGGGCTATGGGACCAGAGCCCAGATATACTGATATTCATGGTGGTGTTTTTACTGTGTGTTTTGTGCTGCATGTGTTGTAGATGTTGTAAATGCAAACAAAATTTAAATGTTAAAAGCGTTTGGCTCGGTAGACTTCTATTTTTGCATCATGTCAGAAATTTCACAAGTTCATAAAGAATAAGAAATACACGTGTGCTGAAGTGAAGTGCCAAGCTATTACTAATAAATAGGCCTATCAACTCGAGTTACACTTCTGAGAAGGTGCCAATCTACAGCAAGGTGGCTACAGCATGAGTGTAACGTTTCATGCAGTAGAAGTATTCAAGAAATATTCAAGAAGTATTTGGGATAATGCAAGAATACAATAAACACTCTCTGCAATTAGCCAAACTGCAGGCTGAGGAGCACCGGTCCTCCTCCTCCTCTCTCAGATACATGCAGGAGTGAATGCAGTGTGGTAAATACACTCAGCATTTACCACACTGCAGTAATAAAACCTGTCTTATTATGCATGTATTAATTATTATTGTTGTTGTTATTCGGCTACCCAGCAGCGTATGATGTAATGAATATTTGCTTCTTTTATTACAAATCAGTAAAACCACACAAGGGGCCAGTAAAGCTCTGATCTGGTGGCCAGAGACACAAGTGGAATTACAAGGCATAACGTCTGAAGTGATAAAGATTTATCAACATGTGTAACGTCAAACCCACCTGTCGGCTCGAACCATTCAATGGATATCTTGTTCCAGCTTGGCGATAATCCTCATCATATACAGAAGTGATAGGACTGTCCGTCCTCTCTCTGGGATTGACATAACTCTGTTTGACATGGATAAATATTTTTAATCAAACCACAAAATGATTACTTGGAATTAAAACACTATTCAAACTGATGCAAACACACAATTGAAACCTGTCCAACCCTCATTAAGCAATCATGTAAACTTACCCTCTCCTGTGATCGTGCCCTCTCTTGTGATGGATCCCGGCCCCTCTCATATTCATCTCCATCTTTGTAAGACCCCGACAGTCGTCTGTATGTTAACTCATTTAGCTGCCTGTATGGGAACTCCTCATGCAGAGGCCTGTGCCTGGAGTCCTGAGGTGTTTTCCTGTACTTGAAATCCTCATTTTGTGGTGACGCATCTTCAACATTCCTGGTTAGATGCGACCGTGAAAAACTGTCCGGTGAAGGCCTGTACGTTTTCTCCTGAGCCTCACGCCTGTACCTGTAATCCCGCTCGTCGTCATCTGCAAACCTCTGCTTTTTGTTGTCAGAGGGGTCCCGC